GAAAACATGTGGTTGCAATCAGAAGATTTTTTAGAAAGGGTTAGTAGGTGGTGGAGTACTTACATGGTTAATGGTACTCTTAGTTGTATGTTGGCTCAGAAATAAAATTACTCAAAGGGGATTTGAAAAAGTGGAATAAGGAGGTTTTTGGCCCCGTGGAGGTTCAGAAAGCGGAAGCAGTGGCTGTCCTTTAGTCCTTAGTTGCTCAGGAGGTTTCTGGGAGCCTTTTACAGGCGGATGTACTTAGAAGGGACGGACCAGGCAGGATTATGTTCGTTTGGCTCATATGGAAGAGACATGTTTTCGTCAGAAATCTGGATGTTTATTGTTGAAAGAGGGGGATTGGAATACCAAGTTCTTTCATTGAATGGCTAATAGTCATAGAAGGGCCAACTAGATTGTGTGAATGCGGGTGGATAGGAGAGATGTGGCTACTGATGAGGATATTCGGGGAGGCATTGTGAGTTTTTATCAACGACTCTTTCGGGCTCAGGATGGGGAATGGAGGCCGGGGTTAGATGGGGTCCTGTTTGATGTTTTCTCTGTAGAGGGTAGGGAGGGGTTGGAGCGGGTTTTTACAGAAGAGGAGGTGTTTGGGGCTTTGAAGGCGATAAGTGGTGACAAGGGTCCGGGTCCAGATGGTTTCACTATGGCATTCTTTCAACATTTTTGGAGTGTGGTTAAGCAGGATGTGATGGCAATGTTTGAGGCCTTTTTCATGACCGGGCACTTTGAGAGAAGCTTTAATGCGACCTTCCTAGCTTTAATTCCGAAGAAAGGGGGGGCTGAGGATGTGAGGGACTTCAGGCCTATTAGTTTGCTTGGTAGTGTGTATAAACTGCTGGCAAAAATATTGGCGAATCGTTTTCGAGGTGTGTTGTCAGATGTGGTGTCTGAATCCCAGAATGCTTTTGTCTGGGCGAGGCAGATTTTGGATGTGGTTTTGGTGGCTAATGAATGTGTTGATTTTAGAGTCCGGGACGGGCGACCTGGTTTGATCTGTAAGGTGGATATCGAGAAGGCCTATGATAATGTGAATTGGGATTTTTTGCTTTATATGATGGGTCGGATGGGTTTTGGTGATAGATGGTGTTAGTGGGTGAAGTTCTGTGTTTCCACGGTGCAGATGTTTGTGTTGGCGAATGGTTCTCTGGCCGGTTTCTTTTCCACTTATCGGGGTCTACGGCAGGGGGATCCTTTATCTCCTTTTTTGTTTATCCTTGTTATGGAGGCTTTTAGTAGATTGCTGTCCAGGGCTATTCATGAAGGTCTGTTGCAAGGTTTTCGGGTGGGCTTGTTATCAGGGACAGCAATGGGGGTGTCTCACTTACTATATGCAGATGATGCTTTGGTTTTCTGTGATGCGGATCTGGTACAGTTGGGCTATTTTCAATGTGTTCTGATTTGTTTTGAGGCAGTTTCGGGCTTACGGATTAATTTAAGTCTAAGTTGATTTTGGTGGGAGAGGCTGCTAGTTCTAGTGGCGGTTCTAGGATGCAAGGTGGCCAATTTACCAGTGACTTACTTGGGTTTGCCTTTGGGTGTTAGTTTCAAGGCAAAAGGGGTGTGGGATGGGGTGGTAGAGCGAGTTCAACGTTGTTTGGCAGGCTGGAAGTGACAATATTTATCAAAAGGGGGACGGTTGACTTTGATTAAGAGTGTGTTGAGCAGTCTTCCGACTTTATGTCATTGCATGTTATTCCCGTCTCTGTGGTTGCTCGTTTAGAGAAACTTCAACGGGATTTTTTTGTGGGAAAGTGGAGGTGAGGATTTCAGATATCACTTGGTTTATTGGGGGCATATTTGTTGCCCTAAGGAGGTGGGTGGTTTGGGGGTGCAGAGTTTGGTGCAGTTTAATAGGGCTTTGTTAGGGAAATGGTTATGGCGGTTTGCTGGTGAGCGGGATCACTTTTGGCGGACGGTTGTGGCCTCTAAGTTTGGGATTGTTGAGGGGAATTGGCGGTCAGGGGATGTATTGGGATCTCATGGGTGAGGTTTGTGGATAGGAATTTGGTTGGGGAGGGGGGAGTTTTGGGAGAGGGTGAATTTTCGAGTGGGGAGATGGTGTGGGGAGGTGGTTTTGGAGGTGTGATTCCATTTGTTTTTTAGTATTGCAAGGGACCAGGAGGCTACAGTTGCTTCTTATTTGGGGGGTGGGGAGGTGGTGGTTTGGGATATTTAGCTTCGGCGTGAAATTTAGGATTGGGAAGAGGGTCAGTTGGGGGAGTTGTTTGGCTTTCTATATGGTTTGGGCTTCTTGGGAAGGGGGGAAGATGTGTTGGTTTGGAATGTGGCGGGTGTGAAATGTCGGTTTTCTATTCGCTCCTTCTATCGGAGTTTGGTGGGGGAGGTGGTTTTTGTGTTTTCGTGGTGAAGTGTATGGGTGCCTTGTGTTTCTTCTAAGGTGGTTTTCTTTTTATGGTGTTGGTTTGGAATGTGGCGGGTGTGAAAGGTCGGTTTTCTATTCGCTCCTTCTATCGGAGTTTGGTGGGGGAGGTGGTTTTTGTGTTTTCGTGGTGAAGTGTATGGGTGCCTTGTGTATGGGTGCCTTGTGTTTCTTCTAAGGTGGTTTTCTTTTTATGGACGGCTGCCTTAGGCCGAAATCTAACAATTGATAATCTGGTTCGCCGGGGGCTTACTTTAGTCAATCGTTGTTGTATGTGTTGTGTGGAGGCAGAGTCTATTGACCATTTATTTCTTCATTGTTCTGTTGCTTTGCGTCTTTGGGGGCTGGCATGTTCCCTTTTTGGGATTATGTGGGTGCAACCAAAGGGAATTGTGGATATGTTGTGGAGTTGGCGGGGGGCTCATGTTTAGCGGCGTCGGCGACGAGTGTGGTTGTTGGTGCCTTTCTGTTTAACGTGGCTGGTGTGGCTAGAACGAAATAGGCGAACTTTCCAAGATGTTGAGCGGTTGGTGTTATGGTTACAGAATCGGTTCTTAGTAACCTCGTATAGTTGGTTAGAGTGTAAAGGCGATCCGGATTTGTTTCTTTCTTAGATTTTATGGATCTTGTAGTTGGTTAGGTGGTTTTGGTCTTGGATGGCGGCTGGAGGAGATCGACGGGCTGAGGAGATCGACGGGCTGAGGCAGGAAGACGAAGCAGACGAAGCAGACGACCAGACGAAGACGAAGCAGGCGAGCTGAGGGACGAAGACGAAGCAGACGAAGACGATCCAGACGAAGACGAAGACGACAGAGGATGGCTGGAGGAGATCGACCTAGCAGATGATCCAACTAGGTACGTTTTGAACCCTAACCCTAGAGGTGTAGCTCTGATACCATGAAGCTTGGGTAACCAGCTTGGGGAATAATAGAATATCACCCCCTATTTATAGATGAAGATTAGGGTTTACAAGAAAGGCAATTTACAAGATGATCCCTGAGTGCTATCCCTGAGTGCATAAAATGATTACAGACAAACCCTAGTGTACCTTTCGGCTAATATAATATGCTAACAAGATAATCATAAAGGCATCACATAGCTCATTAGCTAGCCCACTGATTGGAAACATAGCTAGTAGGTTCAGTGACATCCCTAAGATCATGAATTGTGCACTGTGCACAATCTTTATATGTAATGCAGTATGACAAAAATATGACACCTTGCTTATTTCAATAATTGCTGGAATAACACAATAGATTATACACATAGGCTGATGTCTTACCAGAAATTTATATAATCATTAGAATATTAACTAAACTAGAGTGAAAAGGAGACCACATGATATAAATCCTTTTATAAATAAATTAAATAAAGAAGAAAAAACTTAAGAAGTCGATAACAGATCCACTTTGAGGGGAAAGACTTCTTGTTAGTTCAATTAAAAAAAACTAGACCTCCATAACTTCACCAAGAAGTCGATACAAAATATTCCAGCCTCCCTTTGTATATATTGATTGAATACAACCTATTTAAATACAATAAATTAGATACCTACTTAGTAAACCTACTAATATCCTAACACATACAATCAAAATTCCTAATTACTAGATAACTGCTACTAACCATCAAAATAAAAGTAAATATATTTTAAAACATAATGAATGTATCGCCACATCATGGACATGCAACACAACATAACAATAGTCCATGACTTGTGTTACATACTATGGTACTCCATGACATGGCTGAACCACCTTGAATAAGATGATTTTATCCTCCTTATCTGAGTATGACATTAGTCCAACAGGTTAAACACGAATGATGTACATCGTATGCATATAGAATCATAGCAATCATGCCCAGCAACTATATCCATGCATCATTTCTAAAGCATATATTAATCCAGTTATAACCAAACTAAATAAACCTTACGTTGGAATTCAATGTAAAATGAGTAATTTACTACAACTATTTGTATATGTTAGTATTTAGGATAAATACAATAGATTTATGTTTGAAACTTGGGCATTGTTTTTGTTGTGTTCTTGAACAAATAGACAGAGAGAAAACATGAAAGGGTTAGGTTTTGATAGTGCCACCATTATATATTTGTGGTCATTATGCTTATTTAACCTAATTTGGCTCAAAATATAGCATAAAATGGTCAACTAACACACACTGAGCATGTATTGGTTGCTTAATTTAACTTTTTACCATCATATAGGAGTGACTATCTGCCCAATGGACCTAACTAGTTTGATTATTATAGGTCTGTAGGGTCATGGCGGGATAAGTTTTAAGGCCCAATTATTTTTTTGAACCTGGGCTTGAGTTTAGTGCTTAAAGTTTGGGCTAGCTTAAATTTGACTTGACCTCTCACAATGAATAGACTTGAGTCACTAAACTAAGCAACTATAAGTTTGGGCTAGCTTAATTTTTTTCCCCTCTAAATAATCTAATATAGTACTTTTTGTTTGTATATACCAAAAATAATTAACCTCTTGAACATGTTAAGAATAAAATTTTTGACTTGACCTCTCACAATGAATAGACTTAAGTCACTAAGCAACTATAGTAGCTTCAATATAATTTTTTTTTCTATGCAAATAATTTATTTGAATTATATTACATGCTTAGCAGGCAAGGCTCAGTCCCAACAAAAAGTCTTAAGGGTTGAGCTTGGAATAAAGAGTTTAGGTCCAACATGAGGTAAGATTGCTCCAATTCCATGTTCACCTTTGTTGTCATATCAACTATGTTTAAATTCCCAATTAAAATATTTGGGTTGAGGGAGTCATTTGATTTATTGTTTTGTTACAATAAAAGATAGTTGTTCTTGTGTATTTATAAAAAAGAAGTTTAGTTTTAATCATAGATAAAATGAAAATTTTATTAAATAATTGGTGTAATAATTAGGCTTAATAACCTTGAGGTTATTAATAATTGACCATTGGTTTAATGGTTAAAACTTGGCTTAATAACCTTGAGGTTATGAGTTCAAGTCTTGGGACCACCACTTTGTACATTATGCTAAAGGTTAAGTGTGTACTCAATCTTTCTCCTCCCAAACACACATTAATGTGTACTAATTGGGCGTTGTGATTGGTGTAATAATTGTGATCAGATAGAAAATACTCATATAAATTGATAATTTTTTTTAGGCTTTATTTTCACGCCAAATTTTAATATTGTATGAATATTTTTACTTAACTTCTTGTTCCCTTTATAAGAGAGAGAAATAGAAAGAGAGAATGCTAAATATTATCTATATATGTTCCTTGTTATATGGATGCCTTTTGTGAAATTTAATTAGAATTAATGTAATAAAAAGGAAAAAACCAAATTTCATTAATTTCATTAAGGGGAATTGCAAATGAGTGCCAAGTTGGCAAAATAGTTGTAATTTTCATGGAACTGCAAATGGGTATGTGTCCAGTGCAACTGAAAGTTAAGCCATGGGACATAGGTCTCTCACTTGCACTTTCATAAAAGCAAAGTGCAATTATTTTGCTTGAAAGGCTCACAACCATTGCAGGAGAGGAGGCCCAATAAAGAGAACAATGCCTTGATCAACTCCTAGTGAGTTGAGGGAAGCAGGATAGGTCCACCAAGCAGCTTCTTGGAGATCGGAGGAAGAATTACAAATCTCTTGAAGAATTAACACCTGCATATGGAACACATCTCAACAAATGGTGGTTGCCAGAGATAGGTGCAATCCCAAAGAGTGAGGTACCCTCTGAGCAAGCAGAGTAGGGTGCTAGGGGGACATGATGCCAAAATATAGCCATGTGCAAGATGAAATAGCAGCCGACTTGTCCCCTAAAAGTAGTACAACAGAATTGATATCTCTGAGAAGATGGGTTACTTGACCCTATATATATATAAAGAGGTTGGTTCAATGAATAGAGGTATGAATAGAACACCTTCAGACATATACCCCTGGTTATCTCTTCTCACAATTCCTGTAGGCAGTGTCAGAATGCTCTCCAGCTGACAACACCGGCCGGGCAGCAGCACTAATGGTGTTTGGGTTCCTGCAGGGATTTCAAGCTTGGGAGGTGTCATCCTACTTTCTTCACAATTCAAGGATTTTTCCCTCCTCACACACCAACTTTCCACTAATTTGCAATTCCCCTATGATACGAATATAGAAAATTTTCGAAAATGCATTGTTAGATTCTAAATTAAAAAAAATAAATCTATTTCTCTCTATAAGTACTTTCAGATGTTTCATGATTTGATAAAATGCAAAACATAACCACATTTGTATAACTAGATGGGAGACACTCATTATGTGAGTGCACGACAAACAAATTATCGGCAACAATTTGCTTGTAATGGCTTCTAATAATTTTTATATATATTTTATTTAGGAATGTGGGTGCTAAGATATTCATAAACTCCATGGAAGTTGAATTATGTGTGGTGAAATTAAAAAAAAATAAAAAAATTATGCGAGGTGAAAACATGATCTCAGTTCTGATGTTGGTGTCACTTTTGAATCAACTAAACAGAAGCCTCCTTGGAGCAAAATGGCCCTCTTCTATCACCTCCCTGCACCTAATTCTCCTATTACTATTCACATTTTTTTTTGTTTAATTTGTTTACTTTGACTGGTATTGATGGAAAAGATCATCGTAATTCATTTTTTCGTAGTTTCACTAATTTGAGTTCTTGATCCTTTATAATCAGTCGACATTAGTTTTTCACTTTTTCCTTAATGTCAAAAGTTTGTAAGTGAAAATGTCTACTTTTTTTCTTATTTTTTCCCCCTTTCTGGTAGAAGTGAAAGGTCGATCGAAAGTTGGTGGCATGTTTTTTCTATCTCAGAATCCTTCTCAGCATTTGAGTTCTCTGTTGTCTTTGGACAAAGCTTCAAGGTTTGTTTCACAAATTATTTTCTTTGTTTTCTAGACCACAAAACCAAGGTATAGAACCTTTGTTTTTTTTTTTCTTTTTCTCCTGAAGAAAATTCTTAGAAAGAGCAGTGAGATTTTCCATGCTAAATTTATAATTTCTTTTAAGAGTGTAAATTTGAACTAGATGTAGAGATTCTTAGTATCTCTCAACTTGGGCTACAAATATCTGAAAGAAAAAGAAAAATTAAAAAACTAATTTGGTTCTTGATCTAGTTTTCAGTTCCAAAATGTGAGTATTATTTTTGGTTAGTTTTATTCTAGACATATCTGAAATTGAATTGACTTGACCTATACGCACGTCCATAGATGTTTGGGTTGTTTTTAGATTTTAAAGTTATGTTAGATTCGTAAAGGAAAAATTTAACAAGTGAATTACATATTAAAGCTAAGCAAGTCAAAATAGATCAAATAATACACAGACTCCAATCAATATATTTACTTGTCCAAGCAGATGGCATTGCATGTGCTAATGCAGAAGGGCGCTTGGGTCAAGCGGCTGACATAAGCAGATACGGATATCAGGTAAATACTTAAATAGAAAGTTTTTATTTATGAGTACAAGTAGATGAATGCTATTCATGAAAAGTTTTCTAAAAATAGTTTATATTGGTATTTTGTCATTGCATTAGCAGGTAGTTTACAAATTAAATTTTTTCAAAAGTTGAAGGATATAATATCACGGAATAAAAAGAATGCACCACCCTTCTGGTAGTATATTAGGATGGATGCAAAAGTATATATATTACCAAAAGAACCACACACCCACCGCCTGAAGCCGAGGTTGCTATGATGTAATGCATGCATATGTGCATCGTCAAGCACCATATTTTCATGTGGGCCTTACATATCAATGGTGACTGGGTCTCCTTCCACTTTACGCATGAACAATAGGATTGCTATTTTGGCTGGAAGAAAAAAAACTTCGGTTTCAAGCGTAATTGTGACCACACAATGATTTGTAATAAAATCATTAATAACTTTGCTCACCACAAAATTCGTAACTTTTAATGTTCATACATTACCACAATAGTTTATAAGTAAGATTTTTCTTATGGTATGCTCCTTGGTAATTACACCATGATAATTCGTAACTAACACGAAAAAATTCCTAACTTTTGTTATGATAGGAGGGTGTATACAGTAGTCCCACTTTACAAACACAGTGGCTCCTATGATTTTTCATGAGTTATTTTAGAATCGAGATTCCAGACTCTTGATGGAAATGTCCGAAAAGCATTCCATTTAACTTCGTAAAAATGTAGCAACTAACAAAAAACCGTGTGCATGGAAAACCTAGGCTTTCAAACTGTAATTGTAATTTGGCAATTCTAACAAATTGGTGTGAATATGACAAGGATTTGCAAATTAGGAACCATTTTCTAAATTTAGAACCTTGGCGACCAGACCACCGCCCATCCACTTCCTGTAGTTCGTTATTGGCTTTGGATTAACAAATGTTATCAAATCCTCGAATTTTCTCTTCAAGCTTCAGCAGAACTGTTAACGGCATAACTACTCCCACATATGCCAAATTTTGTAGCTGGTTTATTATGTTTCTTAAAAGTGGCTGAAGCATTTTTCCACCTGTACTTCAGCTTGAGTGCCATATTCATATATAAAATTCGGCCGAAATGTGGCAACTTCATGATGAATTTTAAACCATAGAGATACATTTCCTTTTCATAGATAAATTTTAATTATTTCTTCTTCTTTTGTAGATGTTTTGTGGGTTTAGATGTTGAATGGTTCCAAACTCTCTTATGGATCTTACACTTGTTTCTGTTTCAAAACATCAGCTTATGTGAAATATTTTACAAATGATGTCACATGATGTCATAATGCTTGTTCATTGTTATTGATATCTATTTGTAGCACAATCACCATTTTGTCAGTGATTCAAGACTAATTTTCCAACCTGTCCAAAAAAAAAGAGGACTTTTTTTCTATTATTTTGGGCTAAATATGAAGTCAATTTGTTTATATTAGCATTATTTCTCTCTTGATTTTTTCCCCTTACAAATTTATAATCAAATTTCAAATTTCTTTCTAACAACCATCAAAATTGATATTGTAGTTTTCTTCAAAAATTTTTTCCCTTTTAACTACATTCCCTCGCAACTTCTATATTTGCAGGAACTGACCACACCATGGAATTCATATATTCATTATTTAGTAAATGGTTGGGGCATTACATAAACCTTAATCCAAACATGAAGAATCTCAAAAGAAAGATAAAGGATTTGAGCACTAAAGTGGATGATGTAGAAACAGAACTGAGGGGCGCAGAGCACCATCCAGCCAAAAGACCAAGGAAAGTAGCTCAACATTGGTGTAAAAATGTGCAAGATATGATAGAATCCATGCAAAGACTTGAGGAAGAAGTAGATGGACTTGGACAATGGATGTTTGTCTCACGTGCACTGTTGGGAAAGCATGTCGAGGAGAAGATTCAAGACGTGGTAGAACTGCAAGAACAGCATAATTTTCCTCGTGGTGTGCTGATTGATGCTCCTCCAACTTCTGAACAGTTCATACCAACAGCAAGATTTTTTCGTGGAAGTGAAACCATAACTGCAAGGAACAAGGGGCAATACTTGATGGATGACGAGGTTAGAAGGATTAACACTACTAAAAAATGGGTATTTGCATTGGAAATATTTGCGAAGGTGCAAATATCGTTGCAAAACGTTGACCTTTTTGTCATTGTGAAAAATATTATTTGTGACCAAAATATTTGTAATGACAATGCTATAGTAAAAAGTGAGTGTTTGCTACGGCATTACCGTGCTAATGCAAAAGTGTCTACAATTTTTTGCGACAGCGTGTTTCATCATTGAAAAGTGTTTCATCATTGAAAAAAGTAAGCGACTATATCATATATGCGACAATTAGAGGTTGCCATCACAAATACTAAATTTTTATGGTAGCATTGTTGTCATTGCAAGAAAACTCAACTGTAATATGGCGATGTTTTGGCTCTCTATTTGTTTCCCGACTTTCCCTAAATTTTTTCACCAAATATTTTCTTCTCTCTCTCTCTCAGCGGTCTCACTCATTCATTATCTCACTTTTGTAGCTCTCCAATGGCAACCATCAATGTTGGCAACCACTTGCATCAATAACTAATCAGTATCGACAACCATGCCCAAATTCACCAGTAAGTCATCTGTGTGTTTGTGTAATTTTGGATCTGGATATTATGTTGAATTCTTCTTGTTGATGGTTTACAATGGTGGCAGAGGGGGTTGATGGTGGCATGTATGGATGTGAGGGGAAAAAGGGTGGTGGTGGAAGGGTGGGGAGGGGATGAAGAGGAGGGGAAAGGGTGGGGGAGGATGGTGGTAGAGGGGTGGGGAAGAGTGATGAGGGTGGCGGATATGGGTTTGGGAGAGGGAGGAAGGCATTAGAGAGGTTTGGGGTGGAGGGGTGAGGGAGATTGAGAGGGAGAGGGAGTTGGCAGTTGGGGTGGCATTCACATATGTGCAAAAGATAATCGTGTTCATGATATGTGTGCAAGTTTTTACAATTCTTTTTATAACTTTCATATGAATTTTACCTTGCTTCCTCACATTCTATTTGTAATAATTAAGTCAAACTGCAACTCTTGTTTCAATGTGATTATCTCATCACTCTTCATTAAAAATTTGAAACATAAATGACCAAAGTGGAATTTAAGTTAAAGTTGAAAGGTGAAAAATGTAATTTATGCTATAATTTCTGTCTTCCAAAAAATGTGCTGCGTTTTATATACAAAATTTTGACAGTGAGTGATGGGTGGACCACATTGAAACACGAGGTCAAGTTTGACTACTTAATTGTTGTAATTAGAAGGTAGTATACCAAAGTTAAACTTTGGTGATAATTGGAAGTTGAAAGAGTAATTTACCCATTCTTTGGTACATCAAGGGCCATAGTGTAGGGATGAGGAGTATTTCTTTGACAAGACTTGAACCCTTAATCTCTTAGTGAGGTGTAAGGGTTTTAGTGATGGCGAACATGGAAAGAAGAAATCTGGAATTTCACATTAAGTATGTTTAAGTCATGAAGGATTGAAGTTTTGCAATATTTTGAGTCTTTATATATATTTGTTTTAATTTATTGCGTTGTTGGACAAATTTATGTCATTATAATAGGTTTTAGTACTAAGGGTATTATGGTAATTTCAATAATTGTTGGACATGGGTTCTAGGGCTTTCCCATGGGTTTTATTTTGGGCCAAGTTATTAGATGGGTAAATGTTACTTATGGAAGATTATATAAAGTTTAATGCACAATAACTCCATGATGTGGAAAACTAAATGTAATTCACCATTGAGAAACTATGATGGTTTGATAATGTGGATTGTGCTGCTGGGAAGAGCATAATTTTTTTATCTAGATAAATAATGCATGGGTATAACCCCAACGGGTTGGTCTGGTGGCAAGGTCTTGAGTCTTGGGGGTGTGCTCCTTCCAAGGTTCAAGGATCAAAACCTCTTAGGTGCTAACAATTTTTTGGGGCCATCGGATTGGGAAAACTCTTGAATTAACAGTGGTGCACTTGCGGGAAACTCCTTGCCGAGGGCCTAAGCAACCTTAGGGATTAATCGGGTTTTGATCCGGACACCTTGGTGCCAATAAAAAAATAAAAAAATAATGCACAAACTCATTGGTGTGAACATACAGTAACCCATCTCACCATCCCAATCTTGATAATTTTTATATTCAAATGTATATGATGTTTACATATTTGGGTAAATTATACTTTAACCCTTTGGGGTTAGACCAAAAAATGTGGTGCCTTGTTGAAATTTGATTTGTGACATTTAACCCCCTGGAGTTGATAACAAAGCGAAAAGTGATGTTTTTTGTCTAAACTAGCAGCGTGTAGGTGTGATGCCCCAAAAATAGATATTTTATTTTATTTTAAATTATATTATTAAAATTTTACAGTGAAATTAATACCACTTAAGTAAATTTCGCTTTTTCCATCTTTATTTTCCCTTTTGTGTTTTCTGGACTCTCTCCGTCTTTCTTCCTCAGTCTCCCCTTCTGCCAAAGTTTACAAATTTGGTTTCGATTTGGTTAGGGAGTGAGGATGGGGGTGGGGGTGGGGATGAGGGATGTGAGGGATTGCGATGATGGGGTGGGAGACGAAAGGCGCTGCGCCAATGGGAGAGGAGGAGGCAAGGGGTACTAGAAGTTCTTTCCTTTGATTTCGGAGAACCCACCATTCACTAATGATGCACCTGTTATCAGCTACATGGCTGCGATGAACAAAAAAAGTGGTTGTGAGTATGTGGGTGTTTGGGAAGTTGCTATTTTAGTAGGCTGTTTTAATTTTTGGCTATTTTAGTAGGCTAAAATTTGTGTTTGAGAAGATGATTGGATTTTTTTGTAGTTGGATGTGATGTTTGTGAGAGAAAAAGTAAAATGATTATGGATTTGATGTGACATTTTATCTTATTCGCTATTTTAGCTTATTTTGTTTTTTTGTGGATTTTAGCCTAAAAGAGAGAAATTCTTGTTGCCAAACATCCCCTATATATCACAACAATATAAACCTCACCGTGTTCACCTCTCTCTCTTTCTATATATATATGGTGGTGGTGGTGGTGGAGGTGGGTGGTAGTGGTGATTTTAGGTGGTGGTTATGGGTAATAGTGGTGGGATGAGAGACAAGAAAAAGAAAAGAGAAGAATGGAGGGAAATAAAATAGTTATTTTTGTAATTTGAAATTTTTTTGTTACAAGTTATTCATTTTTCATTTAGGTATTGACACCATGGGGTTTAGTGTCAAATAAACTTCAAGGGGCATATCATTTTTTGGCTTAACCTCAAGGAAGTTGATTGTTATTTACCCTATACATATGTTTCAAGCTACAAAACAAACACCTTGAATAGTTAAGAGCAAAATGTCTCGTGTCGACGATCATCAGATTTGACACAAACATTTCAAAACTTTCGACACCTAGATCAAGGAACATGTTTGTCTTTAAATCTACAGATTCCAACCAACATATAATTTTATTCTGAATTTACATGTTTGTTTTGAATGAGTCTTTGTGGACAACAAATAATATCATATTTTCTGAAGAATTCAATGGATTGTCAGATGGTCCTCAAAACTTGGCACATAAGTTTTAAAACTATATAATCGTTGAGTTTTGTTTTTGTGTAAAGGCCAAGATGATCGTTGAGCCACGCAATATTGTGATGTATGACTTTAAAGGCAAATACTGGGAGTTATGCTAGTGAGAGACAAAAATCCTCGCATAGGGAGTGTACTACAATACATACTTGACTATTATTATTGAAATGTAATACACTCATGATGGCAAGTATATCTTGTTTTAGTGTGATGGGATTGAATTATTACTTAAATTAATGAGATGTAACATATTTTCTGTTTATGTCCATATCATGTATTATCAATTCAATTGATGAGCTATGAATAAAAAATAAAAAAAAAATTCAATTGATGAGCTGTTACTCTCAGCTAACTAATTATGTCCATATCTTGAATTTATCAATTCCTTTTTCTTACATATTGCTATGTCAAAGGGAAGCTGCAATCATGTTGCTCGTTCAGATTACACTCACACCTCTACCTCTCAGCCATTATCCCAGAACCCTCGATCACAGCCACCATCATTGGCACCTTCATCATCACTCACAACCACATCACTACCATCATCATCACATCCCACCTCAGGTATGTACATCTTTAATGATTTTACATTAATTGCTATGTTAAATCATGCCATACTTTGTTTATCTCTAACTTGTTCATTATCATTGTTTCTCTCAGTCCTGGCAACTTTTAACTCTACCTTGACTAGTCAAGGCAATGTTAGGGGCATCAAGGAGTGGAATACTGGTGCTAGGATGGACATCCAATTTGACAGTACATTCCACCCGGTAGGGGATCAAGATGCCTCCTTGAATGGCCAACTTGGACAGATAGTGCGTAATGGCACCAAATTCCCCTCACATATGGTAATTGTAACTGGCGGCTTATTGGAGCAATATTTCAGCAGTAGAGGTTTTTTAGTGAAAATTAATATCTAAAAATTTAAATATCACTTTAAATGTTTAGCTAATAGTATAAATGTGGAACTAATGTTACAGGAGATATCGACTCAAAACTCTTGCAATTGGGAGCTTCGTGGCCCACCTCTTACAATGGGGCAGACACACTTCTCGCAAGTACAACAAGTATTTTGATTTTCTGCTTTTTTAATTTTTCCACGATCGTATATTTTTGCGTCATTGTGTATTTGTGTTTTTAAAATGTAGGACGGGTATAATTGGCAACTCTTTGACAAGCCCGAGTCCCTCCAGGCGACACAACTTGGCTATTTTCGAACATATGGGGGGGATGCGCCTCAGAGTGCGGTGTACAAACATGGTGTGGGCCCATCACTTGCATCCCAAGCCTTAACGATGGCCGAGATCACTCAACAAGTTTGGGAGAAGTTAATGCAGGAGCAGGCGTCAATGATTGTCCAAAACACACAACAAATATGTGAGAAGCTCAAAAGGGAGCTCAGGGCAGAACTCACTACACATATCGAGCAAATGACAAATTAATTTCAAGCGAAGAAGGGAGTTCAGATGCCTTCTAGGTTCAGTACAAATTTTGTTTTTTTACTTACTATATTTTTATTTTAATGTTAATTTTTTTTTTCTATTCATATGCCTAATGAATTATACTTTAATGTTGTAGGTTCTGGATGCATCTGAGTGGCCACTGTGCATTTAAGGAGTGTGTATAGAAGATAGGACCCTACTGTTGCAGCCTAGTTCTATACCTCTACCACCTTCTACTGGAAGACGTGACGACGCGATGAGCATCTTCTTTACATAGACACACACATTTATCTACATTATCACACAAACAATTTAGGTTAAAAGTGAGCCTATTAAAAACCCTTAGTGGTGTTGCAAAGTTAAGATTGATCTTACTGAAAATTTCAGATATTTTGTTCCATTTGTTGAATGGTTTGGTTGTAGAGGTTACTCAGAACCTAACTATATTGGTGTATTTATTATTGCTGGAAGTTGTGTTACAAGTTATACAAGTGTATGGTAGTACATCAAATTAAATATAATTTACTAAAATAAAAACCAAAATTCTAAATTAAAATCACGGGATAGATAACACAAACAAAAAAGTCAGTTTATTTTTCTATCTTAATTTCTATCAGCCAAACTGAGGAATATAGTATTATTTTTTTCCTTCTCCAATTAAGGAGAGAACAAACTTGATAAGAACACAATCACATCTAGAATATGCATTGTGTTGTGTCGGGTTGTATTAGTATGTCATGCCATTTCAGATTTGTGTAAGAAACATCTCAATATTAACCAAACATTGTTGTGCGGGTGGGGGAGAGTTGGGTGGCGGTCGGAGGTGGAAGGGTGGTGGCTGTGGCGGTTGGATCACAATTTCGTTGCTGGTTGAGAGTTTCTTGATTCAAGGCCTTGATTGAGGATGGAAATCAAAGAAGCTGCAATTTTGCACAACACTTATGAGATCTGAAAGCAGTCAGGAGTGTGATTCGAATTATGGGAAGTGATCATGTAGCAGTAGCACCGTTGATTAGAAAACCAATTCTCAATCTCATTCCACAAAATAATCATGGCAATCTCATTCCACAATTGACAATCAGTAATCCCCTTTAATCCACAGTACCACAAGTCTCAACAATAGTTTGCAAATTCAGTTTAGGTGTTGCAACAAAATACTTCAAAATAACTTATATTTGTTAGCAATTTATCCCAATTACAACTTGAGCAACACTATTCCTCTGGACTTGTAATAAAGAAGAAGAAGAAGAAGAAGAAGAAGACAGTCAGTTTGATATTTAGTATTAAAAAAATATATTAAGTATATGAAAAGGAGAAAATTTTCAATAGGTAAAGTTAAAATTACAAAAGAAATTTGTAAAACCTTTTGTGATTCTAGAGTGTGAAGAAGAAGTCATACTTATACAATTCAGTTATCATTAGAGATAAAATAATTCCAATAAGGCTAGTTCACTAATCATACAACTTAGATACTCATAGGATTCATGATTCAATATCTGAACAAATTTGATAATTCAATACAAACAATTCAAAACTCAACAGTTTGATAAAAACACTCAAGTTTTTGCAACTACAATCAGAGTAACTGGTGACAAAAATCCAAAACCAAGTTTAACTCTATGGTCAAAGAAAAAAAGAAAGTAGAGTTTTAGTGTCCATACTTAACCTTCATATCCTTAGGTCCAAATCAGAGTAAACTGGATTCATACTCTTGACACAACACATGAATGAGCTTATAAAACATTTCGATACCAATAAAACAATCATCACAAATAGTTTTGATAATAAAAAAGTTAAATGGCAATTCTCTTACTTGATCCTCATTTGCCATGAATAGAAGAAAATTATGCTCTATTTGGTTGATTGAAATGTGATGGAATGGAATGGTGATTACTATTCCTTTAAAATGATGAAAGATGATTCTATTTGAAATGCATTTGTGATTATTTTTTGAGTCTAACTAAATATGGAAATGAATATTTTAATAGAATGATCATTCTATTCCATTTTGTTCCAATGAACCAGATGCTACCTAATGGCCTTAGATCAGAACAGAATTTACAATCAATTGAACCATTAGTGGCAAATTTTGCACCAAATCAATGATGAATCAAATACTTCACCAAATTTCAAACAATGGTATTTTTATTCAAATTTGATAAAATTCTAAAAAGAATATCAGGGATGATTTTCTTTTATACAAAATGGTTGAAACAAGTTTTTGGGTAAGTTTAAAATTTTTCAAAAATATTTTATCCAAAAAAAAAAGAGTACGAATTGGAGTGTTCTATACGAGATCAAGCTTTGAATCAAATTTTCACTCAAATTTGATGAAAAATATGAGTACAAATACCTTGGTAGCTATTGGAGAAGAAAGGTTGAAGAAAGGTTTTGGTATGGAGATCATCCCATTCCAGAGATTCCCACCATTTTTCCTCTCCATAAATGTGCTGAAGAGCAGGTGGTGCAAATGCTTGCTCACCCTCCTCATTCATGTACAAAGAAATAGGCAATGTACTTAAGGGCAAGCAACTAAGTCACTATTGATATTGACAAGTATTTTGATGCAAACATGTAGGAGAGGCCATTTTTAGAGCAGCTTCGCGACTAATAGTCATCAACTCTCTTGTCTTATGCTTCTTCTTTCAAACAAACCAATCTTAATGGTCTAAATTAGAGATTGATGTTTGTAAGCTCCTTCACATAATTAATTATAACAATTCCTTTCCGTTGCCTTTCTTCCATCAAGTTAGAAAAATAATGACATAACATTGAAAAATAAAGAAAGAATGTCACACCTCAAAGCCAACCAAGCTAGGCATGTGACAATGTCACACACCTATAAGACTTACAGCACCCTGAGAGCATGCAGAAAAGAGATGGTGAGAAAGTCAATTCAATTTCATTCCACAAAATAATCATGGCAATCAGGAGATGAAAGCACAATCAGTAATTCTTTAATTCACAATACCAAAAGTTTCAACAACAATCCACAAATTCAATTTAGCTAGTTTAATGTTTAGAGCATGCCAAACCTAGAGTTCCATTGCCTCCATCAAAGCAAACAAGAGTTCTACAATTTAAATTAATGTCGCAACAAAACAATTCAAAATAGCTTCTACTTGTAGCACTCTATCCCAATAATAACTTCCACCACTTCCACCACACTATTCTTCTAGATCTGTAATCAAGAGGAAGACGATCAGTTTGATAGCTCAATAATTAACTGCTGTAACAACTAACAGAATCAATTATACAAAAAAAAGAAAATTTTCAATTAATAAAGTTAAACAACATAATTTTTTGTGATTCATGTGTAAAGAAAATGTTATGTACTTCAGTTAATAGTTACATACTTAACCATAAATATAATTTATCATTTATTTTTATATTCTTGTTTGAGTATCACTATTTTGAACGCCCTTTATATAATTTTTCCATTCAACTCCGAAAAAGATTGATTAAGGTTTTTTAATTGGTTTTAGAAATTTTGAAGTGTATTTAAAATGCTTTTTCAACCTCTAGTCTTTTTGTTAAAATGTCTCTTATTGTATTTCTCTTTTAAGTGATGATATGTGATTGCTTGTATTTCATTAATATTGGTAATCCTTTTATATAAACAAAAAGAAATTTAATTGTCACAAAAAATTATTTTTTCAAATTTAGTATCCAGCAAATTGAGTTTATTATTATTTTTGCATTTTACTTTATTTTCTCACATTTTATTATAAGATTATTGAAAATTATTCCTACAAGAATCTGCACAATTATAAGCGTGTTTTATTAGAGAATCCACAAAATCTAATCTTACATAACAATGTCCTATATGTGAGACCAGGATTCCCTTCAGTTCATAATATGAATTAGATGTGGTCACCACCATAATTTTATTTTGATAATTCAAATTATTTATTTTGTAAGATTCTTCGTATATATCATCTACATAAAAGAATTAGATCGATCTGATATTCATAATCTATTTAATTTATCACGTTTAGTAATTCAAGCCTAGCTATTTGAAACTTTCATAAAATTCACAAACCATAAATAAATAGTTAATGCAATGTGTTGCGGTGACTTCGCTGCGTGTAGGGCTAATTTAAAATTTTATAGGCATTTTTATTTAAATACAGTTTACCATATTTTTTAAAAAAAAGAGGCAAATATATTTAGCTATTTATGTCATTTTGACCCCTACATTTTCAATTAATTTCATTTTGACCTGTAATTTAAGATTTTGTGTCAATTTGATTCAATTGATAATCTCATTAGTGTTTTTAAAGAAAAATAATCACTGGATTGAATAAATTTATAATTTTGTTGTAAAAAATATGACACGTGCCATTTATGTGTATTTTTTATATAAAAAAATATTAAGAATTATAATTAATTGGATCAAATTAAAACAAAGTCATAAATTCAAGATTAAAATCAAATCTATTGAAATTATAAAACCAAAATAATAATAATAAAAAAACCTACAATATAATAACCATAGTAATTTTCACCCTTAAAAAAATCTAACAGGACGTTGCAAAGTTGGTTTTTTGACTTTTTTTTTATTTTTATTTTATTTTTATTTTTATGAGGATTAAAATCTCGGAAGATCCTTTTAACCCGCCTCTTTTGGGAGACTAAATAATCCTGGGAAAGAAAGGTTGAAGAGTGGTTTTGGTGAGGAGTCCAGATCCCCTCCTTGAGCCCCCTCCTTCATTCCCTTCTTGCAGAGGCTTTCGGGTCCACTTTGAGGCCTAGTTTTGATAATCCGAACCGTTCATATTTTTAGATTTATTCAGTATATTATACCTGTAAAAAATCAAATTGATCGGATATCAGAAAGTATGCGTTCAGAAAATTGGGACTACAAACTATTTTTTAATAAACAGTTTTCCGAACACATACTTTATGATATTCAATCAACTTGATTTTTTACAGGTATGATATACTGAATAAATCTAAAAATATGAACGGTTCGGATTATCAAAACTGGGCCTCAAAGTGGACCCGAAGGCCCTTACAAGGAGGGAATGAAGGAGGGGCCTCAAGGGGAGGATCCCAATTCTTTGGTGAGGGGATTATAACATTCCAAAGATTCCCACCATTCTTCTTCTCCATTAATGATTCGAAGAGCAGGTGGTGCAGAAGCTTGCTTACCATCCTCATTCATGTGCAAAGAAATAGGCAATCTCCTTAACATGGGACACCCCCATATCTCAATTTCTTGCAGAGATTCACAGACCATTATGCCCTTGTATATGCTCTTCAGTCTTGGTAGAAATTCTAGATATAATTTCTTTAAATTTGAGAGTGTGATTGTGTTGCCATCATCTTCACGATGCCTCCCTCGATCACTCGTCTCTACTTCTACTATTATCTCCTCCACATTCTCGCAGAATGCGACTTCAAGATACTCAAGGTTTGGGAAATTCTGCAACAACAGGGCAGGGAAAATATTCTCCATTCTCGGACATCTCCAGAACCACAATATCTTAAGGTTAAATGAAATGTTGTGTGGTGGAACAACTCTGTCAAAGAGTACCCTAAAATTGGGTAAATTATCAAACCATAATTCCTCAATCGTTGTTAGCGGGATGTGGTAATCTTCTGAAAAGCATGATGATGATGATGATGATGATGATGATGATGATGATGATGATGATGATGATGATGATGATGATGATGATGATGATGATGATGATGATGATGATGATGATGATGATGATGATGATGATGATGATGATGATGATGATGATGATGATGATGATGATGATGATGATGATGATGATGATGATGATGATGATGATGATGATGATGATGATGATGATGATGATGATGATGATGATGATGATGATGATGATGATGATGATGATGATGATGATGATGATGATGATGATGATGATGATGATGATGATGATGATGATGATGATGATGATGATGATGATGATGATGATGATGATGATGATGATGATGATGATGATGATGATGATGATGATGATGATGATGATGATGATGATGATGATGATGATGATGATGATGATGATGATGATGATGATGATGATGATGATGATGATGATGATGATGATGATGATGATGATGATGATGATGATGATGATGATGATGATGATGATGATGATGATGATGATGATGATGATGATGATGATGATGATGATGATGATGATGATGATGATGATGATGATGATGATGATGATGATGATGATGATGATGATGATGATGATGATGATGATGATGATGATGATGATGATGATGATGATGATGATGATGATGATGATGATGATGATGATGATGATGATGATGATGATGATGATGATGATGATGATGATGATGATGATGATGATGATGATGATGATGATGATGATGATGATGATGATGATGATGATGATGATGATGATGATGATGATGATGATGATGATGATGATGATGATGATGATGATGATGATGATGATGATGATGATGATGATGATGATGATGATGATGATGATGATGATGATGAAAAGACGGATTCAAGCCCATCACACTCTTGGATTTCAAATTTTCTTAAACCTCTTGCATCCCTTAACGACTGAATATCTGATAAGCTAATGTGATTGTCCCATCTTTTAATTCTCAATTCCTCTACGTCGCTGTGGAGCACTACGACATCTACTCCATCACTTGACAAATATTTAGACTTGTACACACAAGTGAGTCTCTCTTTATCAACAATTCCCACCTCAAGGCTGTACCTTTCCAAACTTTTGCATTGCACAGATTTCACATACTTTGTAAGCTCTTGCACATTGTGAAACTGAACCTCGAGATCTTTTAATTGCTTCAAGCACAACAGCTCTTCTGCCGACACTTTTACTTTTGTTCTCTGAATTTCTCCACTCGTGAATTTCATTCACTCCTTTCATACTTCTAGCTACAGTAACAATTACAAGGGGCAGACCCACACATTTTTTGGCAACTCTTTCTGCAGTTTCTTTCACTTGTGGATCAAGCACTGTCTGATGTTCTTTAACATTTCTCATAAACAGATTCAGTGTTTCAGCTTCCGTGAGACACTCCACTTCAACATTTACACATTCCATCTATCTAGACACTTCTAACGATCGTGTAGTTAACACTAGTTTACATCCGTTATCTCTGGTTGGTTCCGGAATACCCACCTCCTTCGGAGGAAATGCTTTCCAAAGATCGTCTAAGATGAGCACATACCTCTTTTTTTAGGAAAGCATGTTATGTATTTCTGATGCTGTACGTAATTTATCCTCATAATCGAAAAGACCAAGATTCAGTTTCTTAGCTATCTGCCTTTGTAGATTTTTGATCTTGAATGCTTTAGATACTGTAACCCAAATAACATCATTAAAGGTACAAGTTTCGACCAAAAGTTGATTATTGATGTGTTTCATGATGGTTGTTTTGCCAACTCCCCCCATTCCCCGAACACCGATTTTTCTAACCGCATCATCCATCAAGAAATTCCAAATTTTCTCCTTGTTCCTTACACTTGTGGTTTCAGCCAAAGATTCCGCTGCTGGTATGGCGTGTCCACAAGTTGGATCATCAATTAGCAAACCATAACAAAATCCACCATTTTCATGCAATTTTTCCACCTCTTTAATCGTCTCCACTACACGCTTTCCCAACTCTGCTCGTTTGAAGGCATTCTTCAATCCTCGTACTTCTGGCTCTTGTTTTTCCAAAGTTTGGACATCATCTGTTATCCTTCGCACATCTTCTTGCCAAAGTTTAACTTCAACCCTTTGTCTTTTCCTTGACCGTTGCTCTGCATAATTCACTTCTTCATTTATGTCATTGTTTTGGCCATTCAATTGCTCTGTCTTTCTTTTGAGAGTTTCCATGTTAGTATCAAGGTTATTGTGATATTCAATCCATGGTCCAGTTAAATCACACAAATTCTTCTCAATTTCAATGGCTGAACAAATGTTTTCCATGGTGTGGCCTATTCCTGCAAATACGGAAGAGGATTGTAGTTAACAGGAAAAATTCTAAAGAAAACTTCAATATTGATTCTAATGGCTGTTAGAAAGCAATTTCAATTTTGATTTACAAAAGCAAGAGAAAGAAAAACATGCTAATTTATGCAAACTGATTTCACATTCACGTCCAAATAATAGAAAGTCAGTCTTTGAATTACTGACAAAATAGTGACTGTGCTAAATAAATAGCTAGTAACAATGAACCAACATTTATGGTGTTCAATAATTTCTATTATGACATTGATTGTAAATTAGCGGATGATTTGAAACACAAACAAGAATAAGATCTATATCAAAGTTTATCTGCCCAAGCTCGACCCAAGTTAGGTGCGAATTGATCGAGTTGCCCAAGTTGCACGTAAATTTAAGGTTTTTTTTAAATGTTATTATTAAAAGTGCAATTAAGTTAATTAATTTATAGAAATTCAACTTCGTTTATATTTTTTTATTAAATCATAAATAACATCAAAATAAATAATTCATATAATGCGAGAGATAAAAAAAAAATTGAAGAACCGATGTGATGTCATTACAATTTCTTGGCCAAACTATAACACCCTTTTAACATCTTTTCCAAAAAAAAAATTGATGACCAAACTTCAAATAATAGAAAAAGAAAAGCAAGAACTATTCCATTACCAAATTAACACTTAACATGTTGTCTCCTAAAATTCTAACACAAAAGTAGTGGATCCTATGATTTAAACCAATAACTACACATTTGGAGCACCACCTAGATATGTTTCAGGAGTATTGAATAACTTTCCGAAGCTCACTATGCTGCTTCAGAAACATATGCTGAATGTAGTGGAAAACAAGATAGAGTCAACATATATGCAGTCCGCACACTCGATGCATATGCAATTCAAAAAATTAATAATATTATCAGAATAATAACAAAGAAAAATATACGTATAGCATGCATGTGCAGTTCGAAAAAAAATAATATTATAAGAATAATAACCAAAAAATATATATATACATACAATATGAGTTGCTCAAGTGGTAAAAGTTTTTTTATTAAACCTATGGTCATGGGTTCGAGACCCTTTCTCCTCTATACCTAATTTTTACAAAAAAACATGAGACATAAACCCAAAATATGACAATAGGAGACACAAATGTGTCAACACAATACCACCAACAAGCAGCCCTTACTTTATAATAGTGAGACAACGCAAATATTGGGGAATTTTGGAAAAACCTAAAATATGAGACACAAATGTGTCAACACCACTAGCAAACTTCACTTTATATAGGTATTTTGGAAAAATTCAAAATGAGACATAAATGTGTCAATACCACTAGCAACCTTTACTTTATAATAGTACTAGCGGTCCGTAAAAGTTCGCACCCACAATATGCATGTGTAACTCAGAAAAAATAAAATAAAAAATTTAAGAATAATGACAAAGAAAAAGATACATATAATATGTATTGTTCAAATAGTAAAAGCCTTCATTAAACCTATGGTGATGGGTTTGAGGCCATTCCTCTTCTTTACATAATTTTTACAAAATTCACCAAATATAAGGATATTTTGGATGTCAATAACACCATTACAAAATTCACCAAATATAAGCGTATAAAAATTTGGAAAAACCCAAAATATGAGACACAAATATATGAACACCACCAACCTTCACTTTATAATAGTATAGGGTATTTTGGATGTCAACAATACCATTACAAAATTCACCAAATATAAGAGTATTTTGGTAAAATCCGGAAAAACCTAAAATATGAGACACAAATATGTTAACAACACCAACCTTCACTTTATAATAGTATAGAAGATAGATAGATAGATAGGTATAGAAGATATGACTTTTCTTAGCCATCCAAAATAAATAAATAATTAAAATTCTACACACAATAATTTGATAAATAAATTTGTATTAATTTATTTTAAATAAAAAAATCAACTAAAGTGATTTACTTTAGTCACTCTAGCGAGAGAGGTCTATTTCTGAAACTGTTTATTGGCCAAAGCTTTAATCTTTTTGGGTCAAAATGACATTATTTATCCAAAAGGACAACTATCTGTTCAAAAGCTTAACTATCTATTTGGGTTTGGTTTTCAAATTTTTTAATTTTTTTTTAGAACTAAAAATTAATTTAGTGATGAAATGAAAAAATAAAAACGTCCAATTAGAAAGCAATATTGGGTGATAGGTCAAGGGGATAAGTGATATTGGGTGATAATCTATGATGCACGGACACGGGACACGATACAGACACGACACGGACACGTAAATACGTAAATTTTCAAAAAATAGGGGACACGTTTAATATATATAATTTTATTTATTTATTTTATATCTAAAATTTAAAAAAATATTAATTTTTATAAAATTACAATAATAATAAAATTAATAAATATATTACCTAAATTTTTTTAATAAAAATTGATTTTTTTTAAATGAAAATAATTTATTTTATAAATTTGAAAAAAAACATGGATATAAATAATAAAACAAAAGAAAAAAAAAGAGAATAAAAAGAAAAGGGTGGAGTGGAGAGAGAGTAAATGAAATCGGATGAAGAGAAGAGAAGAAAGAGAAGGAGACAAAAGGAGAGACGAAAGAAGATAGAAGACAGAAGTCGAAGACAGAGGAAGAGGAAGACGAAGACGAAGGCAGAAGAATAGAGGACCAGAAGAGAGAAGAAGAACAGGTTAGGGTTTGTTCTCTCTGTCCTCGATTTGTCTCTCTCTTCCCTCAATCTATCTCCCTCTCTCTCCCCTCGATCTGTCTCTGGCTCTCTCTCTTTCTCCTCTCCAACAGTTCTAAGGCTTCTTCGATCCACTTACGTGTCTGAATCGTGTCCTCGCGTGTCCAACCTCGTGTCCGACTCTGAAAAATTCTGAAAAAAAGGGAAACACGTAGGGGAGAGTGTTGGACATGTGTCCACAGCGTGTCTGACATGTGTCCGTGTCCGTGTCTGTGTCCGACACTCATACGCAAGCCTCAGGGATGTGTCCGTGCTTCATAGGTGATAATTCATGGGGTAAAGTGTAATTTATCCTATTGATGAAAGGGTATTTTTAGTCATAAAGGTCCAAATTGAAAAAAAAAAAAAAATGGTAGATGAGGGAGGTTAGTTGTTAAAATTTTTAGTTGAGGGGAGTAAAGTGATAATGACAATAGTTGAAGGGGATAATGTGTAATTTACTCTAAATATTAAGAAAGATTCCGATAGATGATTGGTCATCTTATTTAGACATCATTAGGTCTAGAAAGTGAGTCTACAAAGTAGACTTGTATATTATTTTTCTTGAGAAATTAAATGATTATTAAAATATTACTCAATATAGATCAATTAACTTAATAAAAAATTATAGAAGACTGGTTTTAATTAAACATATTATTCACTTTTCATGAACCTATGTAATAATTTAAAATATTACTAATGTTCTTATGCTCATAAAGTTTCACAAGTAATTCAATTAAAAATAAAAGATAATTGGCTATATAACACGGGAAGGCCTAGGGTGTGCACCCCTTAAGGGTGCATACCATATATACCCTACTATAAATTAATGTAATTTTATCACAAAATTTTATAATATCAACTATAAAATACGTAATGCCGTCACAAATTAATGTAACAAAATGTCCACAATTTTGTGGTTCATGTAGCAAAAGTTTATGGTTTAGTTACGATATTTTTTAGGGCAAACTTCACTTTATCCCCCTGTGGTTTGGGCCGGGTGCGGTTTACCCCCTTGACATTCGGAAATCACCACATAACCCCCTTGTGGTTGATGGACTAAAACGCACAGTTAGCTTTTCTGTCTAAGATAACAGAATGTGAAAGTCACGTGCCTTTATAGAGACTGAGTCCGTTTTTATGACGAAAATACCCTTTCTACCTCTTCAAATTTACAAAAGATGCCATTCTATTTTCAACCTTCTTTTTCTTCATATCTCTTTTCTCTCTCTCTCTCCACCCCTCAAACCACCACCCATATCCATCCTCTCTCGCAGGATGAACAAACATATCTCTAATCAATTTTACAAACACATCTTTGAACAAACACATTTTTGATCATGTGTACATATATATATATACATATATATATATATATATATTTTTTTTTTCTTGATCATGTGTATATACATATACATACATATATATACATATATATATATATATATATATATACATATATATATCTACATATATATATATATATATATATGTCAAAACACAGAGAATATGAAGTACGAAATGCCCTCAATTAGGGCATTGTTATTGAAATATGATTCAAATTAAAAATTAGGGCAATGCTTGGGGTGAATCAAGCCATTTGCTACATAAACTAGTGCAAAGTCTTGTAGTAGTAGTACATATAAAAGAAGAATTTTTATGGTTTTGAGTAAATATACTAGCTGCTCGTTGCTTTTGGATGCCTTGGTAAGAATGTTGAGGTACTTAATACATACCTACTGTTCTTCTTCATAGTTGCATTTCCAATGTATGAAATTGATGTAATATGTGGAGGTTGAGAATCTTGAGATATGAATGATTTTAAAATCAACAAATGAATAAGTATTCACACTTGAGGTATGATATTTTGTGTCTTGGAAAAGAGATGCAGTGATCATAGTTTTGGTAAAACAAGGGCAGGGATTAGATTGTCCTTGTAGATTCTTCGGCTGATGTTGTGTTCTTGAATGAACATATAGTAGTAGCTTGGTACCCATGGATCATGACTTTCGATCTGTTGGCCTAGCTGTGTATGCTTTTTTTTTTTTAACATTTGGTGTCACTGAGCATTTTAAGTTGAAATATGATTGTAGAATACAATAATATTGTAAGTGAACATTCAGGGAATTGACTAACCAAAAGATTTTCTTCAGATTAAATAGATTTTATTTTCTATGTACTTGTGATCAGCTACATTCATCCTTTGTCCTTGACCTTAGTTTTTTGTTTTTGGGTTTTAAATC